TATTTTACACATTTATATACTCTATGGACTAATAAGGTGAAACAAAGTGCTTTCTTTCTACCCTAGACTGTATTTATTGATAGCTTAATGAAGGTTTTTGCATATCTAGGAACTCCACACTTCTAAGATTTTTGCTTGCCAGGCTTATTTAAAAGAGCATATAATTTTTCTTTAAGTTCACATGTCCATGCTACTTTCAGTTGCTCTATCACATAAAATGCCTAGAAAATACCTTCTGGTTTGAAGGTGCAGTGTGAGAAAATGCAGAGAAGTTCAAGAAGTATGCATGCAGTGGGTGTGTGGTGCTTTCCTCTTTAGTTACCCTTTATTTGCTTTGAGTCAAAGTTAAACTGCAGGAAGGGAAGAATGGGAGGACCGGAGAGCGAATAAGAAAAGGTGAAGAGCATACAAGCTAATGACTCTTCACTTAAAAAACTTGGAGGCAGGAGAAGCAACAAGCCTTTCCCTCTCTTTCCTTCCTTCCTCCCCCAGCTGCTCCTCTCTGCCCCACGCCCTTCTCAAATGATCCCTCATGCATCAAGGTCTAAAAAGAAACCAAGGCAGAGAGCTTGAAGGGGGCTCTGAAAAAGTTGGCTGTGTCTGTGCATGACTGTGCGTCTGTGTGTCTGCTGGAGTGTTCATGCCTCTCAGGGGTGTGTGTGTGTGTGTGTGCCTGCCTCTGTGTGCTCAGGTCTGTGTGGGAATGATTACATCAGCCCGCTGGAGCTTTATGATTGGTCGGTGAGTGTATGGTTTGATTCGGTGCGCCTCGCAGCCCGTGGCTGAGGCTGTAACCCTTTGTGAGGGGGAGGGAACGGGAAGGAAGGAAGGAGAGGAAGAGGGATAGTTGTCATACTGAGCCGGCACTGGGAGCTCTGCACTGTACCTGCTGCCATCCAGCCACTGACTGTTACTGCCTGCGCCCTCTGTGCTGCTCACACACAGGCTTTACTTCAATCAGACTGTTCTCCATGTTTTTTTTCTCCCCCACTTTCTTGATACAGCAAGTGGCCTTGGGATACACTAAGGTATTAGCTCTAACACAGGCAGCTCAGCTGTCAGCTGCTTCAATTCAGATTCTCTGGAGGGGAAAGAAACAGCTTTTTTTTCAGTGTAAGGGGGTTCTGCGTTTAAGTTTGCGGAGACAGACTCACTCCTAAAATGCCTTCGTGTTCCCCGGACTGCTGCCTGCTGCGGGCCGTGGAGGTAAGACCACTCTCCCTCTCTCTCTCTCTCTCTCTCTCTTTCTTTAGGTGGCTCTGCCTCTCTCTGCACCCCCATCTCTTTTTGTTCTATCTTTCTGTTTCTTATAACCTGAGGCAATACATTTATAGGCACATTATTTTACTCATTTTCACTTTTCCTTCAAAGATGTGAGTAAAGCAACATAAGAAAGACAACTGGGCCTTTTTCTATAAAGGAGTCATCCCCCGGCTTAGTTTGCACAGATAGGGATGCCTATAGATTTTTACTTGAAAAAGGAGAGATTTTATATATATATATATATATATCACACAAAAAAAACATTTATAGGCTTGAATATTTGTATGAGCTCATGAACCTGGTTTAATTTGCATCCTTTTTCTGTTTTCTTCATGCAACTGCATTTGACTATTTTGTCACTGCATGTCATCCTTTTCAAAAATAACCATGGGACGTGTAATTAAAGTAAATTTAGAAGCATAACCACAATATGTCTTGCAGTTGAATGTGGGGGATTATGTGGAGGAAAAAAAGAACGTGTGAAATGCTAGATGTCTGGTATTGAAGAGGGTAACTTTCATGCAGATGGTTGGCTATTGATACATCAACTACAAGAATGCATTTGTTTTGCATCACTAGAATTAGGTGTGTGGATGCTTGTTCATATAAAAAAAATACACATTTTAAAGGGCTCAACACTGATGCTTTTTCTTTAAGTCTTTCTATATGTTTTATTTAGAGGCTGTAATTGTTTGTTTATATACAACCAATATAGTCATTTAGACTTTGTGTATAAAAGAGGAGATTATGGTTATATACTATGGTATATTTATCTCGGTATAACAGTAAGAAGATGGCTTGTTAGAGGAGCTTGTCTGTGATTTCTAACACCATAATTGCTACATGTTGAATATCTGTTCTTTTCCATTGTATGTTATAATGACAAGCCTGTGTAATGTATGCTATAGTTCATGAAAGGTTATGGGATACATCTTTTTTTGCTTGCGTAGGAGGGGGAGGAAATTTGCCTTCTTTCCCCCCCCCCCCGATTGCCTTGTTTTCACAGCATTTCTTAATTGAGATTTTATTTTATTTTTTGTCATTTCACTGAAAATCTAAATTAAACACTCTTTTGTCTAATAGTCTTGAACCCTAGTTTGTGATTTTTTTATATTTTTTTGAAGCCTTTTTTAAACCCAGCTCACGAAAAGTGTATTTTTACAATTTATTATAACTTGGTTCTCTGTTTTCTCTTTTCAGATTGTGAAGATCTTCAGTGAGGATGGCATCGCCAAAGTTGTGGAGATACCAGCTGATATGACGGTCAGGGATCTGTGCCAGCTTCTGGTTTATAAAAGCCACTGTGTGGATGACAACAGTTGGGCACTTGTTGAACACCACCCACTGCTAGGACTAGGTAAGACGTCTGAAACGGGGATCAAGCCCTCATGGGTGGGTGCAGATGTGCAGTGTTATCACTAAAGTATAGAAGAGCATTCCTCTCTCTGCACCACATTCATGCATAGAATATGGCTGCATACTTGGATCGGCTGTATATGCGCATGCTCTCACACACGCACTGGTTAACGCATGAACGCATTACCATATTATATAGCATAAGTGCATAGAGCTATAATGTACAGTAATCTAATCAAGGGCAACATATGGGAAATGTAAAAGGTTGCAGAGAGAGAGTAAAGTTAACGTAGCTCAGACATGCTTTATTCTCTTTATTTTAGAGCACATTATTTTAAGCAAAGCACACTGCATGAGCTGTAATAAATTTGGACTAATATTTATTATATACTAGTTAAAAAAAGAGTGTGTTTTAATTAAATATAAGAAAAAATGTAATATTCCAAACCCAAGTTGGGCTTGTAATATTAAAGTTTGGGATCAATTAGAGAATGATGAACATTTTTTGTTTTTACTTGATGTGGAACCAGCTGCTTTTTAAATTCGGTTGATGACTGTTTTTCTTATTCTTTAAATAAAACAATGAAAAGACAAACTGCTGCGTGAAAATAAAACAGGAACACAGTTATTACGCGTTAAATACAAGGTTTTGTCTACTCATCCCTCTCAGGAGATGCATAAAGTGCAAATATATCCATTTTTGATACCCTGATAATGCTGGAGACTTTTAATTTGTAATTAATTTGATATATAGAGAAAAAATATTCAGATTTAAAGACACTAACCAGAACCAACTGGGGGGAAGTTTGATTGAATGGTGCTTTTCCATAAGATATTTTATGCAAATTGTATAGCTAAAATTTTGTGAGTAAGTTTAATTTCTAACATTTTTAAAATGGTCTTGCTCTTTGTAATTTGCTTAAATGCTTTAGAGTGATTTCTAGTTGATTTAAACTGAGCTGTGCACACACAAAAATGTGAAAAGCTAACGTCTAGCTGAGCTAATTTTGAATCAAAGTGGTCAGATCTGTTTAGTCACCAAAAATGATTGTTTGATGTTTTGCTTTTAAATTATTGCGTGGGGATTATTTATTTTAGACATAATTACTCTTAAGAGTCCATACTTAAACCTTTATAACTGTGTAAAAGTCATTGTTTTGAGTTAACTGAAATAGATGTAATCTTTTTTTTAGTAAAGAGCCACTTGTAGAAGATCCACACATTTGAAGATTTAACTCTTATTAACCTGTTCTAACATTAGTTTGAAAAAGTGCAACCTTGTATTTATGGCATGCAGTTAATTCTCTCCTTTCTCACCATTATAAGTTGGTGAGGTACAAAAGAGTTATAATTGATGGTTTCAGCTCAGAAGATGTGACTAGGGATGTAACAAAACCTTTCTTGACTTTCCCCTCTCAGTGTCAGAGTATATGTAACATTATAGCTCTAGCACTGTAATTGACACGCCAGCAAGGTGATGATTGATGACAGGTTTAAAACCTTTCTTTCACATTAGAGGTTTCTTTAGTTCGGCACTGGAGCCTGAAAATAGAAGCCCTTACTCCTTCAGAGAGAAGGTAGCACAAAAAAGACTCGTCTTGAAAGGGGGCCGAGAGGAGACAACAGTTGAAGATCATTCTTTCTTCTAAGTATACTTTTCTCAGGACAGATTTATGTTTGATTTGGCTATTTGAAATAATTCCCAAAAAGTTTGAGAACACTTAATGTTAGAATCCAAGCCTCCCCTTGAGGGGAGTGCAATTATAAAACACTTATGGGGGACAAGCAGAGCCCGTGCCCTCCGTTCATGTCTGCACCAGATGTTGGAAAGAAAGGGTGTAATTTTAAATAGAGCTGTTTCTAGGAGTGAAACATATTGCCTAAAGTGACTTGGTGGTAAAAAAACAAAAGAGCATTTCGTTTCTGCTGCTTCTGTGTGCAGCGCTTGTCAGGCGAGGAAACTCTTCGAAAATATATTGCATTATTCAAAGATTGGCTCCCAAAGCTCTAACCTAATATTTCACCATCCATCATGATCTGCTTACTTTTCTCATGGCTGCTGCCAGCCCAGCGCTGTCAGACAGGGTTGGCTTCTCGTGAATGACATCATTTTTTGGCTCAGTGTCTCGTGGTTCTATTATAGTCCTTATTGTGTTATAAAGCACCTGTTCTGCGACTGTATTCTTTTCTCGTCCAGAATAGCTGCTTATCTCATTCAGTGTTTAGAGGTTTCTGTTAATGACATATAATGAAGCAGTGGCGCATTTACCCTTTGTTAAAGCCGTTCTGCATGACGCTCAACAAGAAAAAAAAAAGTCTGCAGCAAGTGTGATTATTTTTGTCATCCTTTTTTTCGTAGTTCTCTTAAGTTTTTAAGTTAACACCACTTGGTCTGCAGCCTCCAGGTGTAGTTTCCGGTTTAATGCGCAGCACCCTTCATAGTCCAAGAAGCCACACTTTGGAATTTCTTCTTTTATCCTCGATGAATGGATGTCAGATGCCCTAACACACACACTCCAGCTTCTCTATGTGATGTAGTGAATGCATTCAAACAATTAGCTGGCCCTGAACATATGCCCATCTTTTTGATCATGGCTTTCCTATTGAATAATAGGTTAAATGAGAATAAAGGGACAGTACGCACTTTGAAAAAAGAGCCTTGTTCCTCTGTGTTGCAGCCCACTTCTGGTATGCAGTTGAATAGGGCGGAATGGCCCTTTGGGATAAGTAACATTGACCTCTACTTGTCAGATTAAAAAAGGTTAACAACTATGGCAGAGGGAGTTGGAGCTGCCAGGGTGAGTCACAGCTGCAAACATGACTGACTCATGGGGCGACAGGCTGAAATGGAAGGAAAGGAATTAGTCGTGACAGTGTACAGAGATCGTGACAAAGGGCACGAACAGGAGGGGACACTCTGGAACATTAGGACACCTGGTACTTTACTTCTTTTCCTTACACTTGAGGATAAATCGCACTGTTTAATGAATAGGTTTTGTCTAAACTTTTCTTGCTTCAGGCCAAACTGACCAAATATTTACTTTTTTCTTCTCCGAGTTAAAATCGAAAAATTTAGAAAATAAATACCCAAAATTAACCCAAATACAAAAGAATGAATTACTGTCAAGTTTACAGTTTTCTCCTCTAGAAAAACGGATATGAAGTTTTTTTTTATTCAAAGGATGGATGTATAACTGTCTAAAAGATCATTCGATACTTTTTGCCCCTTTTTCTTCTTTTTTTTTGCCCTTACTTTGGCTGCAATTGCACCCCAGGCCACATTTAGCACTGAATTAAAAACGATGACAGAACTAGAAAGACAGTTAAAACTTTGTGTCTCAGTTTCAGTTTCATAGCCAAAAAATTAATAGATCAAATATTCACCTCTGTTATGACTAAATGTGCAAGATCAGACTTTGATCTGAATCACAGCTTTATTTTAACCTTAATTATGAAGTTTCAGTTTCTATATTAGCAGTCACAGTTTGTTGGATGAAGGTCTTTGATATAAGATCACTGAATAAGTAAATATTCTGGTTTTATTTGGTTTGAATCTGACCCCTCTGGGCAGCAGTTCACTACATTATTACCTAAAAGGGGCTATGATAAGGAGTAGAGTGTGATTACCCTGTTTATTTATTCATTCATAACACTTCGGTTCTATTAATGTGCAAACGAGAAATGCTGCAACATAGTCCCTGAATTTCTAAACAAGAACTAACAAGGCGCGGACTGTGAGGAGAAAAAAAAAAGCTTGATTTGCATTTGGAACAGGTGGGGGAATCGCATGCTACTGGAATGTTTTTTATAGGAAATTAAAGCTCCCAGAATTCCAAATTTAGAACAGCTAACAGTGAGGGTTTGTGCTTTTTCTTTCACTTTTAATATGTCGTTTTCCTCAGAGTTTCTCTTTCTGTCTGATAAGAAACATGGGGACTTTCTGTAAAATCTAAACAGTTCTTAACTATATAAAAATAAATAATACAGATAAATATGAAATTATTTTTTTTATGTTTACATGAACACGTTTTTCTACTTTTTATGATGTGATTAATATAAAACTAATATAAGTATTTGAAAAGTAAATTAGGGCCTTTTTATTTTTCGTTGCAGAGCGTTGCCTGGAAGACCATGAGCTGGTGGTTCAGGTCCAGGCCTCCATGAGCAGCGACAGCAGATTCCTCTTCAGGAAGAACTATGCCAAATATGAATTCTTCAGAAACCCCCTGGTTAGTCCCCCCCCTCTTTTAACATAGTATTTAAGTTGCATCATCACTGTTGACCTATTCATGTTGAAATATGTAAAAGAAAAAAACTTTTTAAAAAGAGTCCTGGGACTCCAGAGTTCAACGGGTTCCTTATTAAACCGGAGCATGTCCCAGAAATCTGATGCAATTGTATTCATCTCCTGCATAGTGCGACCTGTTGTGACAGGTTCTGTTTCTTCTGAAACTCTCTTTTGTTGCTTATGTGAAACATTATGACAGTTGGCTAAACTCATGACATTTGTGTGACGTCTTTTGCTGTCACAACACCTCCGCCCTATAATTATTGTCACAGTCTCTGACATGTCCACTTCTTCCTCCTCCACCAGACATTTTTCCCAGAGCACATGGTAGCGTGGTGCCAGGAAAGCAATCATACAATTCCACCATCTCAGCTCCTTCAGGTAGGAACATTTGGTCTGTCGTTGACTGTCACTCCTCCTCCTGACACGCACACAGTTTCGTTTAGCTCAGAGTCACCACCTGCTGCGTACTGTACAATCACGCTGACACACCTCACCCCTGACCCTTAGACAGCATGTCTCGTCAGAGCCAGCAGTAATAACTACTGTTGATCCTCTGTTGACACATGACTGTCTCGATACACCGCAGCCAAACCACCTGTGATGGATGCAATCAGGCCATTTGAAGCACAAAGTATACCCTGCCTTGCTATGATATCCTTAAACCTTTCCTTGTTTTTTTTTTAATTAAAATGTGTGTTCTAAATCAATGCAAATTATTTGCAGGAGTTCTGTAGGGGCATCAGAGTCTTTTTGGGGAATAATAGTAAAAAGAACAACATCATAAACACACAGTAGACAGGTTAGAGTGAAGGTCAGGGAGCAGCTTAAAGGCAGCTTTAGGTTTCTCAAATAGTATATAAAGCTTTAAACATCTTATTGCATAATCCATTTTCTAAACATGGGAAGAGTGCAACACACCTGCAAATTAAATACACATAAACAATACATGGACATATAGCTAAAAATAAGCTGTAAAGAAGTCCATTGTAACCATGGAGGAGCTAAAAATATATCCAGTCAGCTTTATGTGTAAGTTACTTTAAAAAGATAAAATAAAACTTGAGTTTAATTTGAGTTTAAAACAAAAACATATAAGATTTTTGAAAAAATCTTAACAGAAACAACCAACAAACAACTAAATAGCAATGCACAGTGTGGCTAGATGGAAGTTAGCATAAAAAGCAATATTTAAAGTATAAAAAATGGAGGAAAAAAAGGTGTTGTGACCCCAATGAAACAGGAAGGTAGGTTTTTTACCAAAAAAAGATAAATGTTGGGGGAAAACTGTAAAACATGTTGATGGAAGCATGATGCTGTGGGGAGGCTTTCTTGAAGAAGTTGGATGATGCTAAATACTGGGCAGAGTAAAAGAGGCTGTAAAAGATTTGTTTTGTGTGGAGGTCCATTCGCATCAAAGAAATGAAATGCAATCCTGAATGCAATTGAAGCTGCTCCTGTTCACACTCTTCCTAATTAACCTGGCTTCAAGTTATTTCAATGTGCAATCTGGGAGAGAGAATAGAGTTTGCAGCCACAGATTCACAAAAGTTTTGACTCAAATGCCTGACAGACTTTACATTTTTAATAAGCAGTTCCTTACTTAATGGGACATTTTCACAGCACAGGTATGTGTGAAAGAACAGCTTTTATCTCTCTCTTATTCTTTGGAATTTCAGGAGCTTTGGTTTCAAAAACTGTAGGTTTATGCGCTGCCTGGATGTGTCAGAAACAGATCCTTCTGTTCCTCTTCACTCACATAAAGCTGTTAGCCCTCCTTCTGATTATGGAGACTTGGCGTGCGACATATATTAGCGATTGGTATGAGCTGGAGCTGTGTCAGGAATTTCCTTTGACTTCTGCTAAATCCATGATCTTCTGGCTCAATTAGAGTGCAGCACAAAGCGAGACGCTCTCTGAACTGAGCTCATCCAGGTGGTTGTAATAATCCAGATTACACAAGAAACATTTGTCAGTGCGAAGTGGAGCGCATGAAGGTGCCGTGGCTCCAAAGGAAAGCTGTTTGAGATATGGTTGCGTGTGAACGTGTGCTCTGTGAGTGTTGGAAAATGCATGAGATCCATGATGATATTCTTTTTCCAAAACACTGGAAAACATATGCTCCAAATAATGAAGAGACTTCTGGAACAGTTTGTCTTTTTCAGATCCAAATCAGAATTATTAGCTCAAGCTGTCACTTTATTTATTAACTTACCCTGCTTTACCATCTGGTCTCATCGAATTCCCACCAATTTCACTGATAATCACAAAGACAGATCCCACATAAAGTTTCTTTAGATTCATCACAAGACTTGTCCTGTGCTTTAACAATTAAATCTGATTGACCAACACAAAGTGATGCATAGTTTCTCAAACAGGCTTGGCACGCGGTGTGTAGCAACCTACCAGTGTGTGGTTGGTAGTTTCTTTGGTCTCCTATGGGAGCATCATCTGTGCCGAAGATGTAACCAGTACCAGTAAATGTATTCTGAGAGCCAACTAAATAATTAGAAGCATCCTATAAATATTTGGGTCAGAGCGAGACGGGATGTCTCTAAGTAACTGCTCTGCTCAATAGATAATCCAGTTCACCCCTCTGGTATTAGGATGACAGCAGAGCAGATTCAGCTGTCATGAAGAAGGGCCCCAGAGAAATCAGTCAGCACTCAGCATTGCAGAAAGCTAAGGGAGGACGGCTGAAGGCTTACTGTATAGTACCTTTCAGTTTGAAAAAAAAAAAACTATTACATTTTCACAGTATTTACCTAAAAAGTAATTTTTTAAATTAATTTGGGCGACCTTTTATATTGAAACACGAACAAATGCAAAAATAGAAACTTGGCAATTGTAGCTTTGCTGAACAGAATATTATACTTTTTTTATTTGTTTCTTTTACTATCATACTCTTCTTTTAAAGAAGCAGAATATAACAAACTGATATAATCTGCTCATTAATGAGTTGCTCAAGCGCAGCCTATAGTGGCCTGCTTTCCACATTCTACTGTGATTGTAGTTTTAAAACATCAAGACTCTACAAGTGTTTTTTTTTTTGTTATGTTTCATTGTTTTTGTTTTTTTTTATTATTTTTACAAAAAAAATTATTTCACCAAACAAAATATATACACAGTGCACAGAAATGGGTGGGGGAGGGGCAGTCTTCCTCTACAGTATGTTTTCTAGATTTCATACATCCAGAGAAAACAGACATTTCCTGTTATTAGACTTTATAACAGTGTCACAACATGGTTTACACCATTCTATTAAACATTTTTTAAACTTTTACTGTTACTGCTATTTTCTGCTCACCATATATCTTACTCTCAACATCACTTCTACACAAAGTCAGTGACAACATTCTCATTGAGCACCCTGTGATCCTTCTTCTTTTCCACATTTTGATGCCATTCTTTTAAACTATTTGTAAAAACCATCATCTTACGTCATTCTTTTTTAAAAGTACCTAATATTTTTGGATACATGTATTGTTATATAGCCTTTAAGTTGTTTTCTACTTCTCTTACTAATTGTAAATGTGCAGTCATATTAAAATCTTCCTGTTTCCTCCCTCAGAACTTCCTTTCACCCAGCACCTGCCCAGAGATCCAGGGTCATTTGTACATGAAAGAGGTGGGAAGGAAGTCTTGGAAGAAGGTTTACATGTTCCTCCGCCGCTCAGGACTCTACTGTTCTACAAAAGGAACCTCAAAGGTAAAATGCAAATTATCTCGGTGGGTTTATTGGGGGCTCAGGCTGCTTCTCGCTTCCATGCATTGACTTATGATTTTTTCTTTCTTTCTGCAGGAGCCCAGACATTTACAGTTACTAGCAGACCTGGAGGACAGCAGCATCTTCACTGTCATCACAGCCAAAAAGCAGCACGGTGCACCCACAGACTTCACCTTCTGTATCAAAGTGAGTCTGCTGGGATCATCTCATTACGACAAACTGAATAGATGAAATATTTTGATCTGATTAAGAATTTAAACCATGTCTCAGCAGAGAATTGCCAACATGCATATAATTTTGAATACATTTTGAAAATATTTTTCCCCATATTCATGTTTAATGAATAAAGTTGATAAAAACTGAAGACGCTTGTGCTAGAAATGGGGACACACCATTCCATGAGCCTGATCACATTACTGACTGCACCTATTATGATTGGCAGCCCAATAAAGCCAGGGGAGAAATGAAGGAGCTGAGGATGCTGTGTGCAGAGGACGAACAAAGCCGGACCTGTTGGATGAGTGCTTTCCGAATCTTTAAGGTACCTGAACAACACCTTTAAAGATGTCTTCCTTCTTTTAATGTTTTGTATAATCTGGGAATGGGGAAAGTTTCTGCAATTACATCATAATCACTGCCAACCCGAAGAAAATGCGTAACATTGAAATTAGATTTTCTTTCTATCATTTATCAAGAGAGAGATTCATGTTTTCATTCAAATGCTTTGACTCTTACAACTTCCACCATTTTTGTATGTTGCGTGGAAGTTATATAATTTTTGGGGTCGGCCTGCACTTTTTTCAAAATGAGTTTTGGTCCCCTGCACTTTTTACTGTCAATTAAATTCAGTTTATTTATATAGCGGCAATTCACAACACATCATCTTAAGGTACTTTACAGTTCACCAGATCATACAGTGAAATAGATTCAAAGTTTTCTATCTAAGGAAAACCAGTTGATTGCGTCGACTCATTGACTCGTAGGCAATCCCTGTTCAAAAACAATACAGTGCTACAGTACACCAAACCTCGTTGAGCACTGGGACCAAGCGAAAAAAACGCAGCTCACGCTGAAGAACACTTCCTGAGTAGCTCCTGCTTGGCCCTCCATGTTTTCTCGTGTGATTGGCTGTCACCACTGCTGCTCCTTAGAAGCTCACCTTGCCAACATTTGATGCACCACTGAATCGGGGCTTTGACTGGATGTTCACAGCGCTGCTAAAGTCCTACGCACTAGTGTAATTAGAACTATGGGGTCACAAGCCTCTCTGCTTTCTGGTAGATGCAAGAGAAATGGAGGAAACAAACTAGAAAACATGCTGAACTTATATATAAGATAGATAATACTTGCTTCCCCCCACTACTCAAATCAAAATTTCGTTCATGGTATATTGCATCAATCAACAGCAGGAACTTTAATCCACTTTTTAAAGTTTGATTAAAAATCTTGTTAGTTATATGCTTGTATGTTTACAATAACAATGGAGGTAGGATACTCTGCATGTGTGCAGGGGAATAAACAATGAAGATATGCGGCTAAGCCAGTTAGCACCTCCCAGCTGATCTGTGTAAATAATGTCCACGGTCCAGCGTGAAAAAGCGCAAAAAAAAACATGATTCCAAGGGGGTTAAGAATCAAATAGTCCTCCGAATACACGACGCTTCGTGTATATAACCTTATTTTATCCTAATTAAATGTTTTTTGGACTTTTGGTATCTGTATACAACATGACTAATCCCCTTTAAATACAACATTGGAGCATTGTTTTACATATCTCTTTTTTTCTTTACAGTATGGGATCGTCTTATACCAGAACTATAAGGTTCCTCAACAAAGAAAAACGTTGCTTTCACACTTTTCAGCTCCTGTGGTAGGTTTTTTCTATACACAGTCATGTTCCTTTCCATAGAATCTATGTACCAGTGGGGTTTATCTGAGGTATCTGTTGAAAATATCAATCTTTAAGCAGATGTTGATAATACTGTTTATTTACAGTATAATTATTTTTTTTCCCACCTTTATTGATCTGATATACAATTCTAATCTTAAAAATAGTTTTTACTTGGACTAAGCTATAATTCCTCATAAACAGGTCTGTTTTCAAATGATATATTGACCAATGTGAGTTACTACTGTAAGATAAATTTGCTTTTTGATAATATTTACATTTTTTGAATATGTCTGTACAGTATAAGTTTATATGTCTGTTTTCCTGTTTTTAGAGGCTTAGATTATTGGCACACAGACAGCATTAAACAAATGAAAAAAAAAAAAAATGCTGGACAAAAAGTGCCACAATTAATTAAATTAATCCAAAAAAATGAATAGGCCAATGGATATACTTTTCATTTCTTAATCTAACTAAGAACAGATTATTAGCCAGAATTGGCTCCCTAAAATCCAGTATTAGCTTTGATTAATGACAGATTTAAAGGTGATGGTTATGGCAGACATATGTATATATATTTTTAATTAATTTAATAAAAACTTTAAGTTTTATTTTTAGATTTAATAAATTGTTTGGTGATACTTTTATTAAATTAAAGCACATTGAGCTTTTGAAGATATGCAAAGTCAATGGGATTAACACTACTCTAGTTAAAGGAGATTAATCTGGATTATTTTCGGTGTGCAGGTTAACTAATCTACAATGAGATCTGTTTGACCAGCCAAGGGAATACTTGAATGTATTTTATGGTTTTTTGCAGCCATGAGCTGTTAGAATAATTAAAATAATGCTGAAATTTGAGATTTTTAACATATAGTTATATAAAACTTGTATTTAGGCATGCATTTCTACACATTTGAATCATGCAGATTTGTTTATTTTTATGCATCATATACATTTTTTTTTATTATCAAATGTATTTCTGTACTGACTTATGATTTTGTGTATTTTGTGTTAAAATCTTTTCCACTCTTTATGTTTTTGGGAATCAATTTGTTCATTTTCCTAAATGTACTGTCTGTCTCTGGCTCCCCCTAGAGGAGTGTATCGGAAAACTCCCTTGTTGCAATGGATTTCTCAGGGAGGATAGGCCGGGTGATTGATAACCCAGTCGAAGCTCAGAGTGCTGCCATGGAGGAGGGACATGTGTGGCGGGTGAGGAAATAACCCTTTTTTTCCCCCCTGTTACGGCTCTCTCTTAAGCTGGAGAGTCATCCCTGATCTGTTTACATGCTGTATACTGTTGCATTTTTTTTTTTTTTTTTAAAGGAGATGGTACAATGATTACTGGATGTAGTTGGACTTTTCTACCTTATATTTAAAAGTTGAGATTTCACAACCCTTTTATACAACCTCTGAGACAGGAAGAGCTTAAGATTAGTTTACCAATTTAATTAACATTTCATTACATTGCCTCCCTTTATTTCCAGTTATTACATTTTGCAAAACAAATTTCATTCTAAAAAAAATAGAAACTTTATTTGCTCTCTGCTCCTATGAGTAATGGTTGTTGCTTTCTGTCCTGCGGCGATTCCTCCAGAAGAGAAATCGAGTGAATGCTTTAGGTTCCCACAGTCCCTTACACCAATCTTCACTAAGCTCAGGTAATTCTCTTTCTCAGTGCGTAAATTCCTCTTTTTAACCCTGGAATGTTGTTTGACCAACTCTGTTTGCATCCTGCGCAGTCATCCACATCGCTCAGCTGTGGTTCTATGGCAGGATAACTAGAGAGGAGTCCCATCGTATTATCCACCAGCAGGGAGCGGTAGATGGGTGAGTCAGCTACACTGAGAGGAGGGAGACGTTCTCTGGTATGTTTTACCACACCGTTTCTCACAAAGATCCTTCCTTCATTTTACTCTGCAGGTTGTTTCTGCTGAGAGTCAGTCAGAGTAATCCAAAGGCTTTTGTACTCACGTTGTGCCATCATCAGAAAATCAAACATTTTCAGATCCTACCGGTAAGCTATTCTTTTTAGTGATTCCATCCTAATGCAAAATGTATCTGATACGATTATAAAGAAATTTACTGTACAAGTAACACATTTTAGATGACCGTTCCTATTTATAGAAAAAAGTCTAACTTGTGTTTTGTCTTGTGTTATGCTGTGGGCTTATATTTACTCAGTGTGAAGAGGATGGCCAAGTCTTCTTCAGCCTCGATGATGGCGTAACCAAATTCACAGACCTGATTCAGCTAGTGGAGTTCTACCAGCTCAACAGAGGGGTCCTGCCTTGTAAACTAAAACACCCTTGCACCGTTGTGGCCTTATGACACCTCCAGACTATGTGACTGTCTGAAAAATTGATCTGAATTTGCCTGAAAGTATCAGACAAAGCAGAAAGGATCTCTCCTTCTTTCTATGGTTAACCTTTCCAAGAAGCTGGTGAATTGACTGATGTTTCGCTGTCGTCGTTTTCTATTGTGAGCCTGCTGGAGGTTTGCTGACTGGCTGGATTTTATTTTATTTTTTCTCATTTTTATCCTTTTTTTCTTGGACCTTTTATGGAAACTGGTGCACGACTCGCTCCTTTGGTTTCACTTTTAAGAAAAAATGACAAAGACTAAAGATATAAACACTGCCGTTTTGTGTCGTCACTGTTGCAAATCGCTCCATGAGATGCCAACAAAACTCATCAATAAGCTTGTGGGACTCGAGGCCTTCTCTCAGAGCTCAAGAAAAGAAACTGGACAATCAGCAGGACAGTTAAAGCTTTTGTGTCGACCACTCTGTTTCCTTCCAACAAACTGCAGTGTCATGCAAGCTGTTATTGACACGTTTTCAAAGTACAAACCACAGATGGAGACTTTATTTCCTGTTGGTTTTTAACTCAGTACAGGTGCATATGGCCTTTAACTGTACAAGGCATTTCCTCTGGCGCAATACTCAACCAGATAAGATGCCACTCCTCTATGATGTTAGTGGCATGAATGGAAATGTTCAAAATTTACTGCTAATTAGATCTGAAGGCACCTGCATTCAATCCCGCCTAATCTTTGCAATAATAATAATAATGTTAAATCTGCACTGTTCACACTTCTAGACATGTTTTTATTCTTTACAATTACTCTTTCTTTAATAATTCAGTTTTTATGTCTTATCTCCCCACCATCTGAATGTTTTTTAGATCTATATTTGTCACATTAGCCACAACAGATCACTTGGTGCTTATTATTCTGGATTGGGGCGTTAAAGATCTTTGCTTGGAAATATCAAAAAAAAAAAAAGATCCATTCACAGATGAACTGAGTGGTTCAGGTTAAAGTGTCCAGCAGCAGTCAGAGGAGCTTTAGCCAGACAGACAGCTAATTGTATTGTTGAGTATCTTATAAGTTCAGGTATTTAGTATAAGCAGACTGGGACTCGGACTGTATTGCTTTTTAGAAGGCTGCATTCATAGAAATTTTCCGTTGATTAAACTGGGTCGTTTTAAGCTTCAGATGAAGAAACATGAGGATGAATTCTGTCATTGGAATTTCCCCCAAACATCTGTACTTTCACACTGGACTAAGACTGCAATGCAGCACTAAAACTGGCCTCAGCAGGTTCCTGGAAAGGTATCCAATGTTTTCCATATAAGACCTGATGGAGGCTTAAGTTCTCCACCTGTTTTTAGCAGAACTATGTTACGGTATTTAAACTTGGCTACTCTCTCAGGTCGGCAACGCTGAGTGGAGGGAAGCAATCACATCTCTAAAATGTAAAGATCACATCTCTAAATTGTGCATGTGGGGTTCTTGTTATGACATAGGGGGTTGGGAGGTTGTAGGTTTATAAATCTGAATAAAAAAAATAAAAAGATTTTTAAAGAGAAGCATTTTCTTCATATATAGATATAAGAATGAGAGAAAAATAAGAGGAAGAAAAGGTGCAATTATAGCTTTATATTGTGTATAATGTAATTATTCAATGTAGCTCAATAATTACATTCAATGCATAATTGAATGTTGTTTATTATCTAAATTTACAATAGATTACTGATATAAAATAAAACATTTGGCTTTGATAACCCCAGCAAACCTTCCGGAGGCGAGATCTATTAACAACAGCACATTTTCTGCTACATGGTACTTTGCACCGCAGTTGCCTTCAAGATTCAGATCCATTTTCAAAGATTTGGCAACGCACTGAGATCCTGGAGACGTTTAGATACTCTTATTCCAGTGTGAAACGGGCCTCACCATATGACAGGAAACAGGCAGGATTCTATAGATTCTGTGAGCATCATTATTACCAGATCATGCCCTGTTCAGTTTTTCATTTGCTCGATTAACTACCACCTGAAAACAGCCTGTCTAGAAATATGGTGTAGTGTCCTCTGTAAAGTGGCCTTTTAACCCTTTGGCTTATCTGTACACAAACAATATTAAACAAGTCATTCTTACATTAAATGAAAAGTCTATAGAAGCTGCTGGTGTTAGAAAATCTATTTAAACAGAAGCACATTTGAAATACATTTAATACACAGGTTGTAAACCCTCTCTGCCTCATTCATTCATTCATCATACAGAATATAAACTGCTTTTGAATGTCGCTAATAGGAGATGGATTGTTTGAGATAATGTTAGTGGGGTCTAATGTAATTCTTTCAAGTAATGCCTGTTTATTTGTGTTTCATTTTCATATCAGTCTGTATAACAGCAGGAGTTGTCGCTGAAAATGTTTTCTTGAAAAGATTGCTCATTTGGTTCCCCTTTGTAATTGTTTAAGACCGTGTTTCTTTTTTTCTTTCCAGCTTATTTCGAGCTAATGAGTTTCACTGCTGCAGTTGTATTTTTGCTTTTTATAAACAGGAAATTAGTGAAAGGCAAAACCCAGTTAACTGTAAACTCAATGTATAAGCTTGAAGCTCTTGTTTTTTATTCTTCCTTTTTGTCACTTCACACAGGCCGCCGCCAATGTTTAGAATATCCTGCTGTGAAATGTCTCTCATTAATAGCAGTCTTTTATCATTTGTTTTCTCTAGTCTAGGGCTTTTTTTTGGTTGCCTTGTTTAACTAAACAGCTGGTACTTTTGTTTTTTTAAATACACGTACGTTTGTGAACCGACAGCCATCTTTTTTTGACCAGCAGGTTGTTAAAGGATTTGTTTATGAACTGAGATGCAGAAACGCAGCACTACGTTGTCCCTCTGTGTAAGGTTGTCATAATTTATCTAAGATGCAATGCCATTTTTATTTCTTTTTTTTATTATTTGTTTGTCTGGTTTTTATTGATGCAGCGATGTGTATTTATTTATCAGGTTGTGACTGATTACTTGAAAATTTTAGATTATTTTTGTTCTTTCTCAGCGCTGTTCTCTACTGTTTTCACTTGTCATTACCATGCAATCATTGTGACTATTGTAATTGTAAGGACATTACCTGAATTGATGTTTTTAGTTTTTGTCTTGAATACTTTAAAAAAAAAAAAATTAGAGATTCACAAATCAGAATTTTGTGGCCATTCTCTCCCATTTTATTTTGGACCATCACATACTCTTTTTAGCCTCCAGTTAATCTAAGAAATATAAGACAGGATGACGTAAAAACAGAATTTAAGTATAATTATTAAGCCTTCTGTTTGCGGGTGTTCAATAATTGTTTATATAGGAGCAGGGGGAATGTCACACCAATGTGTAGGAGAAATCATACAAAACCTGCCCTGCTGATTGTTTCTAACAAAGACAAAATAATAATGGGTTTTTAAATTTGTTTACCAATTTATAATGATGGGTTGCAAAATTAGTGGTACTAAAACTGCTGTAAAACAAAAAAAAAAAGAAAACTGTTACAGGGTATGCATTTAAAGTTGGGTTTACTATTATATAGTATATTAGAATTCTGCAAATTTTTTTATACTCTTAAACCTTTTTTATCCCAGAGTATTGCTATATCATCTAGAATTCAAAACAGATTCCCAAATTTCCAAACAATAGAGTTTAGGAGCTATCGGATAACTGTTATTTGCTTAAAGTCTCATTCTCACTCTTTCACCACCCACTTCTGACATGTTTTGCATATCACAGAAAAGCTGTTTTTTGGGGGTATTTTTATTTTTTATAGCTTATGTCTCTCCGTTTTTGCCAACTCTTAAAACACCTTATTGATTCTAAAAGCAAAAAGATTTGCACTGGCTGGTGAAGCGTCCAGGTTGATCAAGTTAAAAACCTGCAGATTCTGACCACCAGACAATTTCTCAGTACTCATCTTAATGTATAGATTTTAACAGCAAGTGTTATTATGCCATGTTTAAAGCACAGTGACAATAATACTGTCAGCTAACCTCCAGAATGGAAGACAAGATGAATGCTTTGAAACTGACAATGGACAAGGGGGGGGAAACTCTTTGAAAAATGTGGAGTTTAAAGAAAAACCACTAGGTGTCACAATAGAGCAGCTGATTATAACCCTTAGATGTAAAAGTACAGAAACATTTGTTGATCATCATAACACATCCCAAAAAAATCCATCCTTAATCAACAGAGGATATCTTTCATATCTTATTATCCTTTTTCCTCTAAGATGTGAAGTCAGTAGAGAACAAAATTTAAGGTTTTGGAAGTTCTAAAAGAAAGAACCCGAAATGCACATACTAGCAGCCTTAATAAACATTAACATATGTGCTGAAAAACAAGAAAGAAAAAAGAATGGCACCTGGTTAAGGACATCAGTTGTATTTTGCTTCCTTTTATTAGTTTATTTTCAGAAGCCGTTCCTTTTGGACTTGGTTATTAATACATAGTTGAAATTGGTTCGATAAGACTCTTTAAAATGTCTGAAAAGAATGTCAATGCTGTAGTGACAGATTTTTAAAGGTAGATATAGATAAAGAGTAAATCCACTACATTACATACTTCTAACATTTAGATTAGAATCACAAGTGTATATGAGCCCTGCTACTGAAATTCTGAAATGTAAATGTACATTGCAATTAGATAAAACAATATGCTTAAGGAAAATCAGAAACATAAATTCTAATTATTTGATAGATTATAACACTTTAATATAATTTAAAAGTTAAACTGGTCACCTTTAGTGTCACATCGGGTTAAGACTACTCAACATCTAAAACTATCAGATGAAACAAATAAGTCTTTTAATGTTTTTAGCTTTAATTCATCAAAAATCTGAAATGAAGAAAGGTCAGTGTTGATGGACATATAAGCTGTAATTTATCTTTAGACCAGATATCAGGTGTAAATCTCTTTTTAATAAAGTAAATTAAAGCATTTATAAAGAATTGGCACCCTTCAAATCTGGTTTTAAATGTAAAAGTTCAGAATAAAATCCTGTTTTTTCTGTTTTAGTACCCTTTTTTCTTTGTGAATGAGTTAAAAGTTATCATCAGCTTTTCCACATATGTATCCTTCAGCTTTTACAGTGAAAGATAATCTGTAAAAATGAGAGGGAAAAAAGTTATAAACTATGATGCATTTCAGGGAATGTGAACAGTAAAACAGTAACTTCTCTCTTTTTTTGTGAGAGAGGGATTGGATTTTCATGATGTGCTTTGCTTCAGTCTGTAAATAGCTGGTTGGCGTATTGTAATCATTTCAGGTATTTTTGTAAAAATGAGGGACTGATATATTCTGTTAATTGATATTAGAATAAAATGTTAATACGTTGATATGAAATAAAGTCAAATGTGTGCTTATTTACAATTTTGGTCAGACGGTTATAAAAGCAATTTTGGCTTTTTAATGATGTACTTGAACCATTCTTTTTCCAGGTTTAATAGATATAAAAATGCAAAGCTTAATACCCATGAAAACAATTTACATTCATTCAGTAGTAGACTTAAAGATCATAAATACAGGCAGTTTGTGGTGAAGCTCAACTGATATTTGGCTGGCTAGTGTTCAGCGATCTTTAGCTCATTCACACTCATCTCCAAGCATCCTGCTTTATTCTTCCATCACATTTGAACTATATTCTTATTATCAAACAGAAAATGGTTGAGCTCATATAAATGTTTTGTTAATTTTTTTTGCTGGCAGAGGCAAGGTTTCCATCTATTTGAGGCAATTAAGTAGGCTTGATTCCAATGATATTGGTGCTTTGTTAAAAGGGTTAGAATAGTGATGAAAGCTTTAGATAGATTGTTAGAACTGCACAGGGAGAGTATATGTGGGAGACAGAAAAAAAGACTTTGGTAATTAGCTAATATGGAGCAGGTGTTGATAGAAATGACTAGAAGGGAGCTAGGGGAAAGGAGAAAGGCACAAGGGGGCGACAGAGAGTAACTAAAGACTGATTAGATATAACACAAAAATGGAAAATAAACCAAAGATCAACAAAACAGAATTACTTAGATAGCTCAAAACTCCAAGTCCAAAAAAGGGGAGAACCATAACATCAACGTCATGGAGGCTTAAAACAATCGTAATTCGTCAATCAAATATATAAATCTAGAGAAGGTTACAAAAAATTCTAGATCATTTTAGAGCAGGATATATTTAAGATGGTCATTCGATTAGGCTTTAAAAATATCAAATTGCCTCAAAGGAAACTTAGCTGACCACCTAAAGCACATCACATCCACTGTAAAAATATGGAATAGTGTAGTCAATGGATGTCTTAAGATTGAACAGTTTTCTTTTATTGTTTTTTTTTTTTTTTGCAATAATAACGGCAGTAAATTACTGTTTTCATACTAAACATTCCATTGGCTCCCAGAAAGCTCATTATAAAGAAGGACTTAAAATGTTGCAACATCGCTGAGTCCAACAATTCATTTAAACCCAAACAAAAGTGGCTTAATAAAAGAAACATTTAAATTATGAATTGACAGAGAATTAAATCTGATTAAATATCTGTGGGTTTGCCAAAAAGAGCCTGTGGAAAAGAGATGTCCTCTTAGTCTAAGAGATTATGAAGAACTCTGCAAGCTAGAATGAATAAATATCACTGAGTCATGATCTGGAATGCTGATGAATTCTACTTTTAAGAAGCATAAAATATTTAAGTTGAATCGAAAAGATATTTCAGAGTTACAGTATGTTAGCCTTGAGGTGTTCATACAAGTTGTGTTGCATCATTTCCTTTTTCTCTTGTATATTTTGAGAATTGTATTTTTTTTTAAGCCGAATCCATTATGATAATGTCATATATATAGAGAACCAACTGGATTTTCTCTTGTTTTGAAACAAGCAAATTCACAATAAATTCAAACTTGAGCATCTAGATATATGAATTGAATTTTTTTGAAAAACATTCTTTTTTTATGTGTCTGCATAAAAACACCCATGGGTTTCTGTAGGTAGAAGATAACACTGCACCTTTTAACTGTATCTTCATTACCTCATGCTGCATCTGGTTCAATTTTTAAAGGTCACACTCAGCAGAAACTGAGACTTCTTGTTATCCAGTAGATGGTGGTGTTCTACAAATACGTTTAAGTTAAATCAGAATGCAATCTGGCACTGAAGATATTTGTTAATGAGCCTTTCATTAGAAACTATGAGACTGACCTTTTTACACCAAATGGGTTACAAATCCCTCCAATCGGGGAAAAAAAGCTGCTAGAATTGCTGTGCTAAAAACAACTAAAGATTAACATGTTCCAAGACTCACTGCCTCTGTAAAAAGAAAACTATGCTCTCGTATGTTGGTAAACCACCAGAATTAGATTTGCTTACTTTTAGTAAACTCACTCAGTTTATTCCTTATATAGATAATATCTATATTGTCTGTAATGACATTGCTCTAGTGGAAACTTAAAAGAGCAATAAATAGACCTACCAAATGTAAATAGACAAGGTCAAAATTCTGAATGGTCACTAGTGTTGGCGTACGGTTAACATCTTTTTGGATATTTTTCTCCATCCTTGTGCAGAAGGAAAGTTTCTTATTCCTGCCAAGAGTTAGTGTTTGCTATTCTGTCTGTTGCCTTTCGTCCTGACATTTCTTCCAGTGAAACTTTAGCTAAAACATTGTTTTACTTTAAAATAAAAAGTAAGGCCTTTCATAACAACTCTAATGGCATAAAGCTGTTTTAGTTGAATACGTCCATGTACAGATATCATCTGACATAAAGTTAACTAGATTTATAAATTAAGCAAAAACAACACAAAAGATTGGATGCAAAAGAATTAGTACCAGGCTACAGTAAAACAAAGTACAAAGTAATCTACTTTAAAGAAATTAATATTTTGGGTTTATGTATTAGGCTACTTTACAGCATACACTAAAAACCCACTGAGCCTTTAAAACAAGCTTCTGCTTTTCTAATATCTCCCATCGTCCTCTTTAGGCGAGTTAATTTCTGTCATGAAGCGAGGACAGATGGACTCAGTATTCAAGGAGAGACAGTCAGTAGGAAAGTTCAAAAAGGTTTATTAAATTAACAAAAACTGAAGTGGAGCTGTGGCACGCGGACACAGCAGGATGGGGAGCGGGGCACCGCCCAATCACAGAACTCTGCAGGAGAAACACAGGTAAGTGACCACGATCATCTGACAGAAGATGATTATCTGAGTTGGCCACTTACCTGTTTTAGAAGTCTAGTCCTAGAATGTCCCCAAGTGCTGCAGTCCCAGAGGATTTGCTGGAAGCCAATCCTGGTCAGGGATCCAGAACAGACAGGAACAGGATCCAGATCAGGCAGGAACAGAAACAGGAGGCAGGATCCAGACTTCCAGGCGTCCACAGGCTCCCAGGAGGGTTCAGAGTCTGACAGGGTCCGAAAGCGTGACCAGGTGGTCACGCACAGGAGCAGACAGGATCAGGTGCAGCTGAGCAGGCTCAGTGGAAGAGGGTAGCCGAGACGGGA